CTGTCGGAAGGGGCCAGTCCGCCCTCCCCCATTGGCTCATCATCACTTGCTCGCCTCAAGGGCAGCTGAAGTAGAGGGAGGATGGCATTTCCTGCTTACGCGCACCGCCTCGCCCCTCTCCGCTTATCCATATACACTCCCCCCGTTCCCCCCTTAAATCCCTTACACACCCCCTCCCCCCTTAAACCTTCCCTTGTGCACACACACATACACACCCTTTCCCTTACACCTCCCACTTACACCCCCCCCTTACACCTCGGTATTACACACCCACTCCTTTCCCCCTTATACCCCCCTTAGGCATGCACACACAGACACCTACCTCACCCTTATACACCCCCCCTCCCCTGTACACACACTGTCCCAGAGCAATCGCACACACAGCACACACACACTGCCCTGCAGCAATGGACTTTCCATTTGTCCCCTACCCCAGATTCATTCTGTGGCAAGCACTTTCCATGGCCTCTCCGGGCAGAGATGCCCTCTGACCCTGCGCACACAGCCCCCATAACACAACACCTGCCGTCCAGCGCAGCCCTGCGGCTACTGGCCAGCTGCTTCCCTTATCTCTGACAGGAGAGAGAAAAAGAACCGGTCCCATTAATCCCTGAGGATCTTCCCTTCCGGGGGGAGTTCCCTTGCCCTTGCCCACTGGTTCTCAACCTTCCTAGGCTAGAGGCCCCCCCTCAAAAAGTGGCAGCTCTTGCCTTTCGCTAGGTTTTTGGCTACAGAAACAGAGCAGTTTTGCTATTGCAAATAATTCAGACCCCACCCATGGATTCCTATTTGAAATCTCTGGGTTTCTTGTGCAAATCAGGCTTGCCCACCTCAGAGTACTGACATAGTGTGACATCTTGTGGCACCCCTGAAAGGATCTCAAGGCACCCCAAGGTGTTGTGGTATTGGCTACAATCTTTAAAATTCTGGTTTATTAGGCGGATTGAAACACTGTAATGAAGTCAAATCATAACCTTGGGGCTGATCCCCTCACACACACACATGCACACACACAGTAGTGAGCTACAAACGTTGGGGGCAGGGGGCACCAGAGTCCAGTATACCTATCCTACAAGCACTGGAGTCTGCCGTTGATGGCCAGTCGAGGCTTCTTCCAGTGTGGTGTTATCCTCCAGAAGGGGGTCGCTGGCTGGTCCTTCTGGCTGGACAGGTCGGGTGCTGGTCAAGTTGGAGATCAAGAGGATGCTGCTGAGGGTCACTTTTCACTGCTTTTTATCTGTCCTTGGCAGACTTGGGTGACTCCCCAGTTTTCAGGTTTGCCCAATCCAGGGGTCGTTGACCCTCGTGGGACTTCCCTCTTGGTGGCTACTGGATGGCATCTGTCAGCCCCAGGGGTTGTCCGCATGTACGTGCAGGTTTGGGAGTCCGTTAATGAATTTTGAATAGGGCCCTGGGAGCGGTCAATCGAGATATTCAGCCCCAAAAGTTGGTCCCTGGCGTTGATTAACTCAGACGAGGGCTTCTAGCCCTTGAACCGTGAAGTTTAGAGAATTCCCGGTTGCTACATTGTCTCCTATTGATTTCTTCCCTTGGTTGATCTGCGGTTTCCCTAGGTGTTAATCGCTGCTTGTTACTGAAGCCTGCTACGGTGTTATGCATTCAATCACTGATTCACTCGGTCTTTCAGGGGCCCACCTGATACAGGGAAGCGGTGGTTTGATTCCTGTCCTTGTTAACCTTGTTACAGTGTAAAACTTACTTCTAAAAACTAAAACACGTTCATTTAAAAGGTGAGGAGTATAAAATATAAGCTACAAGAGTAATGCCATGGCACACAAATAGATAAAAATACCAAAATACAAGGGGAGATACAAAATGCACACATACAAACTTTAAAGCACAATTCCTTATCTTATAGTGAAAGAAAGAGGAAGGAAGAAAAGGTAAAAGAGGAGAAACATATCCAAAGAGGGGAAAGCAAATGCAGGCAAGAGGGAAAAGGGGCTTTCTGCTACAGTGGCACCTTGGTTGCAGAATCACAGCTCTAGCTGAAGCCTTCCAAGCTGGGGTGGGTGTGGTGGCTGTTGGTTGTATCACATCCTCAGCTGCAGAAAATGTGACCCTGGGATCCCTTTTCGCTGCTGTGCTGCTGAGAAAGTCATCCCGCAGCCTGTAAGGGTGCTGGTGATTCCTTCTCCCTAGGTGCAGCGCTTTGCACTTGTCTTTGTTGAACTACATCCTATTCTGTTTTGGCCACTTTTCCAAGATGTCCAGATTTGCCTGGATTCATTCCCTACCCTCTAGTGTGTTAACTTTACTCCATAATTTGGTATCGTCTGCAAATTTGGATAGAGTGCTTTCTATGCCCTCATACAAGTCACTGATGAAGACATTGGACAGCACAGGTCCGAGGACTGAGTCTTGTGGGACTCCACTGCCCACAATTGTCCAGGTCAATACCAACCCATTCACCACCACTCTCTGGGTGCGACCCCTAAGCCAGTTTGCCACCCACCTGACTGTGTAATCATCTACATCACAGCTGCTCAGTTTATTTATGAGAATAGGATGAGATACCATATTGAAGACTTTCTTAAAATCCAAGTAAATGACAGCTACCTTGACTCCTGCATCTAAGCAATTTGTGACCTGGTCATAAAAAGAAACAAAGGTAGTCAGGCAGGATCTACCTGCTATGAATCTGCCCTTCAGCATTATTTTTCCTGCTGGACTCCCACAAATGTGATCCTTAATAATTTTTTCAAAGGTTTTCCCAAAGATAGAGGTGAGACTAACCGATCTATAGTTTCCCAGATCCCCTTTCCTCCCCTTCTTGAAAACAGGGACCACATTGACCTTTTTCCAGTCCTCTGGGACCTGACCTGAGCACCATGAGTGCTCAGACAGCTGTACCAGTGGCTCTGCTATGACACTGGCCAATTCCTTCAGCACCCTTGGATGAAGATCATCTGGGCCTGCTGATTTAAACACATCCAGTCCTTCCAAGTGCCTTTTCACCAAGTTGGCACTAACAGTTGGTGGGCTGGTGTCCCTTTTGTGCCTGTCTATGATCCAATTGGGATATTTGTCCTGATCCATGTTCAGGAATACAGAAGCAAAAAACTCATTGAAGAGCTCAGCCTTGTCCCCCTATCTGTCACTAACTGCCCTAGTTAGTCCTGTAGGGGTCCTATGCTACACTGTGCCTTCTTTTTACTGCCTACATACCAGAAGGAGGATTTTTTGTTGTCTTTAATGTTTTTTGCCAGCCTAAGTTGCATTTCTGCTTTGGCCTTTCTAACTGCCTCCCTGCAAGTGTGGGTCAAGTAGGTATACTCCGCCTTGGTAGCTACCCCCTTCTTCCACAGCCTATATGCCTCTTCTTTTGCCCCTAGGCTTTCCTGGATTTCCCTGTTCAGCCAAGAGGGTTTCTTGGCCCCTTTGTTCCCTTTCCTATGCAATGGGATTGTCTCCTTCTGCGCCCATAGGATCACTCCCTTTAGGAACGACCACCCTTCCTGGACTCCCATCTCATCAATGTTCCTGTTCTTCAGTGCCTCATTAACTAATCTCTTGATCATACTGAAGTTAGCTTTTCTGAAGCCTAGCACTTCTGCCCTGCTGGTTATCTTTCCCACCCTATGTCTGATAGTGAATTCAATCAGGTGATGGTCACTGTCCCCTAGGTTATCTTGTGTCTTTAGATCCCCCACCAAGCCATCCCCTGTAGTCAGCACCAAGTCCAGTAAGGCATTTCCCCTAGTGGGGCTGTATACTTCCAGTGTTAGGTGAAGGTCCTGTATGCAGGTTAAGAACCTATGTGAACGGCTGGATCTAGCTGACTGCTCCTCCCAGCAGATGTCAGGGTAGTTTAGGTCACCCACGACAACCATGTACCTTGACCATATGGCCTTTGAGAGCTGTCTCGAGAATTCCAGGTCCAGCTCATCCTCCTGATGTGGTGGCCTGTAGTAGACCCCACTACCAAGCCCCTTTCCCCTTGACCCCCTTGTATTCTGACCCACAATACCTCAGTTTGCCCCTCCTCTGATCCCATCTTGACTATGGAAGATATATATTGCTCCTTAATATAGACAGCAACACCCCCGCTCCCTTTTTTCCCTACTCTATCACATCTGTACAGCCTATAGTCCTCAATGCTTACTGCCCAAATGTGGGTAGGGTCCCACCAGGTTTCAGTTAGCAATGTTAGGTGTGCAAACATGATTAGGTGCAATGTTAGCAATGTTTAATGTGCAAACCCAGACATTTCAAATAGGAATCCAGAGTTACAAAAATTCTGACTTGTGGTATGAGTTCTTTGGAATAGAAACTGTTCTTTTATTTTTTCATAATCAAAAAATGAGTGAAAACTAAGAACTGGCATTTTCCAAGGGGTGTCTTGAGTCTAATGAGGAGTGCCTCAAATCTAAAAATGTTGAAAACCACTGGCTTAGGTGCTCAGGTCTTCAGTTCACTCATCCAAGGAACCTGACCTTGCTTCTTCTAGTTTCCCCCTAGATGAATTCCATCATGGTGACATTCCTTTTGAGAGAGCTTTTAGCATGTGTGCTCATGTGCAGTGGCATGGGACCAGCATAAAAATATTATGGGATACTTGAAGTAACTCCACTGCACCTCTAGGTAGCTGGGGATGGCTAATCCAGGACCTGCCAAAATTTGTAGGGGATTAATGTGAATCATTTTTAAGATTGTTTTGGATATGAAAACAAAAGGATTTTTGGAGACTTGTAAGTAACTGTAGGGGCCCAAACATACATCATATAAGCTTTTCCTGGATTAAAGATTCATATCTAATATGAGAAACAATCAGCATGCCAGCCAGG